CTCAATCAAAGATACCCCCCCCCCGAAGAAAAGCAGCAATGGGGATTGCTTTTTTGTTCTTCAGCAGGACTGTAAAGCCTCTTTGAGCAGTCAGGCTAAAGCTCATCCTTCAGCCGCTGGTGACAGAGCTCTAACTGCCTCAGGCCCACACTGAAGGCAAGGGCTGGCTGGTTGCAGAGAATCTCCTGTGGTCAGGAAAGTAAGTTTTTTTCCCCAGGAAAGTAAGTTTTTCTTCCCATAAGGTGCCTTCCCTCCAAGGTGCTGCCTTACATGCTATTGAAGGAAGGCTCCATATTAATGGGTGAATTAAGTTCATTGCAGTCTGAGGGTTCATAAATTTTTGCTGCTTCTTCTTCAGCCTTCCAGCAAGCGTGCAGCCCTGGCACTCGCTGTCAGGCCCAGGGCACCTGAGACACCTCTGTCAAGGTGTGGGTGAGGGAGCCCGTCAAGGCAGCGCTGTTGGGCTGAAGCCACTCAAGTAGCACAATCTTATTCACGGATTTTTTTTGTTCTTGTATCTCTCCTCCACCTCCTTCTCCCTGGTGTGACTGGGTGCCCCATGGCTCATAGGAGAGGGGCAAACGGCACTTGCAGCATCCTGCAGCGCCTTCCATGCCTCCCAGTAATTAGCAGGCTGATGCATCAGCTGTGCTGCAAATAGGCCCCAGATTGACAAGGAGGGTGCCAACCCTGCCATTTCGGTTTGGGGCTGCCAGGCAGCTGCACCTGTGTTTCATTATCACTTTGGGAAAAGATGCGGTGACAAGCTTTTTTGTTTTGTGGGTGGGTTTTTTTTTTTTCCTTTTCTTTAAAGCCCTGTGACAGCTTACACTGCTGTGAAAACAAACAGCTGGGACTACGTTTTCCAGCAAGCTCTTCAGACTATGTGAAGAAGCAAAGGAGGTATTTGCTCTGTCTTCCCTACTAAAAACAAAAAACCAAACCCCTCAGATGGGTTAGTTTTATATGCATATAACCAAGAAGCCACTTTTTGGCACACAGGTCAGCCAAGAAGATAAAACACCTTGTCAGATAGCAGAGCCTTACTTTTTTTTTTTTTTTTTCATTTTTCTTTTTCTGGTCTAACTAATGCATCACTGCTAATTCAGTCGTAGGCGAGAGAAATGGGCCAGGATGTCTTTGCAGGCCCTGTGGCTGTGGGAGCTCTCCCCTCTGATGCCCTGGGAAGAAGCTTGCAGAAGCTTACAGTTGTTTGTACTCTTTGACAGGGAAACTACTACAGAGACACCATACAGGGGAAGGTCCGGCATAAGACAGTTTCTACAAAGCAACTGCGAGATAATAATGCTATTAAAGAGGCGAGGCGCAACTGGCAGCCACCGTCTAAAGCTGCTGGGTGCTGCAAAGTGAAGGGGACAGCAGAGAAAGCAGAGGGAACAGTGACAAGCTAAGCAGCCCTCCCACCCCAACCCCTGCAGACAGAGGTAGCTCCTTAGCTGCACCTGTTTTATTTTGGCTTTATGTAGTGAGAGAAGTCAGAAGGATAGGTGTATGTGTCTGTATCTATGTGTCTCTCTCTATATAGTTATCTCCTGCGGCCTAACCCTAGCTTATCTAATAGCTACAGCTGGATTTACAGCAGCCCTCTTGTAGCTGTTGAAGAGAAGCAGTGGCTGAAGACAGGTCACTACTGCTCCCTGCGTACAAATCATGGCTGCTCTGCTGTGCAGAGACTGGGTTCCTGCGCCTGTGAATCGACGTGAAACCAATGAAAATAAATGGGGGGAAAGCGAACGATTTCACCAGGAAAAAGACTGCTGCATCAAAACACCTTGATGGGACAGGGCTCAGGCAGCACGCTGCTGCCTAGCTCTTACCTGACACGCAGCACACATGCTTCCTCCCACTCCTCTCTCTATCCTACCCTATTTTGACGTTACAGAGAACTATTGTGCTAAAAAAGCCCCAACGCATTTATCTAGCTACAGCTGAATTTGTACAGATTATCTTCAGGTCCCTACCTACAGGCCAGAAATAATGCTATTAATTCGAAAAAGCAGCAATTGCTCTCGGTGGCAGAGGGCCACGACTGGCACATGGGGCTTTGTGAAACAGAAATACTGCCCCTTGCTTGCAGCGTACTTGAAGTTTTCTTCTGTTAAAGCCTAGCTAGAGAAAAACACCAAGCTTTCTCAAAGCTGGAAAACAGACGTTAGTCAGATGGACAGAGAAATTTCTTACGTGTGTTCTCAAAAAACAGCTAGTCATGAGTCAGGCTTTAGCTGCAAACTGTTCAACAGGACCTACGTGACTAGAGAGGAAAGCAGTGCTTTGCACTAAGTAATATACACCAAAAAATCACCTGGGAAAAGCAGCAGTAAAAAGGTCTTCAATGCTAGTAAAAGGTGAAGGTTAAAAAAAAAGTGATTTGCCCACACTCTGGCATGTGTTTCATCTTGCAGGACTGTAAGATCGGGAGGCGGTTCAGCACTCAGATCAGTAGGACAGCTATCACCACAGTGCTGGAGGGAAGGAAGGAGTACAACAGGGGGGGAAAAAAAAAAAAAAAAAAAAATCACACACATTACCACCACATAGCTTGATCTTTACTAATAAAGCCAAAGAACAAAACATCAGCATTTTTTTTCCTCTTTTTCTGCCCAAAGAGCATCTCCATTTTTAACACTACTGCTTTTTGCAACAGATGGACTATTACACACGGACAAAGCAAACCAGGGAATATTAAGACATTTTCCACATTTCAGTTTTATGTGATTACTGAAAACAATGCCTTGATGAAATGCATTTTTTCACCTTCACACGATATCCTTTCTTTAATGGGCCACCTAGATACCACAACGCTGTGATGAACAGAAAGGAGTTGTAACGGGGAAAGTCACGTCAGGAAGACGAGGCAGATGCACTGCCAGACGCTTTCCGAGTTGATATGTTACGTTTCCAGTCTTGCTCAATTCCAAGAGGATTCTGCGGAGAAAGGCGGTGCCGGGCCCCACCGCAGCAGAAGGCTGGCTACGGTACAGAAAGAGCTGGTAGCTGACTTGCTCATTATTTCAACGGGTGCACTCAGGCATCTTGGAGATCTGCTCAGTATTAAGCTCTGTTCTAAGCTTCTATATACCTATATATTTTTCAAACCAGCAAGTTTTAATTCCCCTTGGGCTCCAGCCAGTCAAAATCACCTCCCACAGGTGCCATTCCAAGCCCAGCAGCCAAGAAGGCCTATATGTATAGAATCACTGAATGAAAAAACCTGCCTGTTGACCCCCTAGTTAAGCAGTCAGTACAACACATGCTTGGGATTTGCTGGGAAGGCCAGTGGCTTCTGTTCTGTTTGCAGGCAGTTCCTGCAAACCTAGCAAGCCCATTCCCTGTTAACCCACCCCACGTGCTCTGCAGTCACAGCGGAGGGGAAGGAAAAAAGGGTGATGTGGAACAGGATCAGAGCTGCCATCTACCTCCTTTGTTAGAATTTCTGTGAGACTTCACCCTGGGCAAGCTTCCTCCCTGGCTTATCTATGGGCAGGATCAGTGATCCACAGGCTGCAGAAAGAAACACAGAGTTAGACTTCAGCACACTTGCCACGGAGGAACATTTCATTCAAGATGGCCTCTACGGGTACACTCTGTGAACTGCCTCCTGTAATCAGCTCTCCCCATTCCTCACTGATCCCTCCGCTTTCTGCCGCTCTGCTCCGGTTTGCTTCGCCCCAGCTGCTTGCCATGCAGCATCCCTCGCTCCCACTGCCTGTCAGCATTTTCCCTCAGCCCTGGCTGAGGCTGTACAGCTGCAGCTGGGTTTGGTGCCGCCGACCTCATCTTCTGCCCTTTCCCAGAGGGGTGGAAAAGTCTCTCCTGCTGCTCCCGTGTTTTAGTCCTACCTGACAAACCAGCAGAGGAGCTACACTGTGACATTAAGCTGTCCCTGCACTGGCACTGCTGCTATTGCCCAGCAGAACTGAATGTGAAGATTATTAACATCCCAATGGATCTGGCAACAGATACTATAAAGTTCAAGGAAGTCACCCGCTACCATTCAGAGATTTATGCAGGAGCAACAATGCATCTCCAAGCCTGACCGCAAACACTGGCGCTCAGCAGATGGCCCACAGGTCACATATATATCCCAATGCACGCCTGAAAGGTCAAAGTCTCTGCCATCTGTCACACTCCCACCTGATAGAAGGTATCAATTAAAATAAGCACCTGGAATGATAGAGCACAGGGAGACCTGGGGGAAGGATGAGAACAGCTTGAGCAAGTGAGAGTGCGCTACACTTACTTTTCCCAAGCAGTGAGCATACTTACTATCTGGAACACATAAGCCTGCTGTAAGCGTACTTACAGCATGTCCCTCTTCTCCCAAACCAAGAGCCTGATACTCAAGCGCACCTGTAGGCAGGTCTAGTATTTCACAACCCCACCACACTACAAGGGGAAGCAAAGCACTAGCAGCACAGTTAAAACTAAAGGCAAACGGCTTTTTCTGTTTGGATTTTAAGATGAAATCAACTTCAATTACAGCCTCTAGCAATGGTTTCATATTGCTCACTAATCTTCTGCAGCCTCCACAAGCAGCTGGTGTTTATCACTCCTATCAAACTATATGGGCTAAATGCAGCAGGGCTAGGAGAGGGAGGGAAGGGCCCAGAACAAATCACTGCCTTGGTTTGGAAGCAACAGTCATCCCGAGTTATCAGCATGAGAAACTGCCCTGACACCCTCCCTTACTCATTTGTATACTAGATGCTGCAGGACAGGTTTATTACAAATCCACGTACGGGAGAGGAGAAGCACAGTTATGCTGTCCCTGCTCTGCTCTTGGCAGCAGCGGGAGGTTAGTATGGGTGACTCCACCTTCAGTTTGTTAAGCTCGTGCCATGGGATGGGGCTTTGCAGAGGTGGGGACAAGCATCTCCACCCTGCTGTAACTGCCTAACACACTAACCAGATGCAGGTATCAAAGGGAGCCTCTCTTTCAGGCTTTCAAAAAAACCTCCCACAACACCAGCAAAAGACAAGTCAGATCCCTTCCAACCTGCTAAGTTTCTGAAACCTGAGATAGCCTCATACCTCTTCATCAAAAAAGGCTCATCTCCATCACCTTAGCTTCTAGGGACTGTGGAGAAAAATGCAGAAAAATATTAACATAAAAACTTTTTTCACCTCTTTTTAAAGTTGCCAGCTCACCAGTGAAGCTGGGCACTGTCCTGCAGCGAACTCTCTGGCAAAGGTGGAACTCTCTGGGTAACCACGCTGCAGAAAACAACACTGCTGTCATGAGTCATGCGCGAAGGTACAGGACAGAGATTCACACAGAGACCAGCTTTTTGCTAACAACAAAAGACTTGCATCAACAGACAACACCAATAAACATGCAGAGCATGTCAAAGACCTGAAGAAGACAAATACAACAGAAGAGAGAAAGTTCAAAACTTGACTTCTCTTGTCCTACGTCTGAAGGTGTCACTTGAACAGAACTTAAATGTGGCTTCTCCTGTTCATGCTCTAATGATTTCATGGTCATTTGGGGCGGGGGGTGGGTGGGGGAGAAAAGGGGTTTATCCATCCGTTGGTTCAGGGTCGAGTTGGTTCAGTATCAGAGGCACTAAACAGTCTCATCTCTTTTGGCATCAGTTTCCTTTCAAAATGATCTTTTAGCTGTCCTGTCCCACTTTGTTTTCCCTCCTTTGAGGTCCAAGTTCAAACGCTGGAAACTGGGAAGTCTCCGGTACTGAAATATCTGAGAGGAAGTGAATAGCTCCAGCCATGCCTAAAACATAACGAGAAAGAGATCTTTGTGCATCTTTGACATTAAAATAGCACAGTTGACAGCAAAGGCAACAGCGCCTGTTTGAACACCTCCTCACTAGATCTTTTTTTGAACAGGTGAACTTAGGGCCTATAGAAAGGCAAGTTCATCTGTACTTTGCCCAGGAAACCAAGTTTCACTTGAAAAGATGAAAGGCAAGAACCAAGATCTCTCTGCTACCGTCTTTTCAGCTGCACAACCTCAATGCTACTTCAATTAAGAAAAAGTAAATCCCAATTTGGACCGTCCCTCAGAATTTGAGCAGCTCTTGCTTGTCATTTCACTGGGGAAAAAACAAAGGCAGAACTTTATTATACTTGTGATGTACAGATTCATTTGTTCACTATTCATAAAGAGGTCATGAAAAGCTTCATAAAGAGCCTGAAGCACTAGCACCAGTATCACCTAATAAAACTCTTAAGGTGACAGACAACAGAGGCACCCTACAGCAGGAGAGCATACAAATACAAGCTCAGTTTTACGATCAAGCTAAAATCCTATTTTATCAATAGCTAAGCACATACAAACAAAGGAACCTTCCTGAAATACAGCATCTGATGCAAATGAAATGATTAAGACAATCCCATAAGATGCACATCCAACTTCCACTGAAAGTGTGCACGTACATGCAGAATTGGACAACTTCAAGCACAATTTTGGCTAGAACACCCCCCCGCAATTAAGACCTTTTTGTCTCAAATTTGAGACTTCTAAATTTTTCTAAAAAAAATCACTGACATTAAAAAACTAAAATAAAAGTTGTACGTCAGCCTTAAAGAACAAATCATCTTATTGTTGGCATTACTTCACCTTCTCAACAAATTTCAAAGCTTTTATACAACAGATTGTATGCCTGCTTTTTCCCCTCTACAAGCACATGCAAGGGAGCTCTCAGGAATGAGAATACTTATACTTTTCTCCCTTAAACATTAAGACAATAACTCTGTATTTAGAAGGGATGCATATAACTACTGCTCTCTTGTGTTCACACCTTGGATTGGTTTATTTGTAAAATAATCCTATTCGGTCTGCTGTAATTTCACATATTTGTGATAGGTGGCACACTAGGCTCACTGTTCATGAAGTAGCAGCGCTACTTTAAATCCTGCTTGGGGCTACAATTCCTTCCTACTGTGTTTCTAAAACATAAGGATGAGATAGGGAATAGCAAATAAACTACAAATAAAAAAAATACAAAGCTCTAGGAGAGTATTTAGGAAGATCTTCGAACTTATGGAAAAGCCCCTAAGAACTCTGCATTTCTTTTCTGTTCAAGCGATTTGGGTTCATATTAAAACTAGCTTTTCCTTGCCTTAGTATTGCAGCAGAGAGGGTCTAGTTCTGACAAGCCAGCAACTGCTTTGAGACCCCCTACCCACAGCTGCTCCTCTGCCCAGTCCCTCTGCAACACCACCTGCGACAAAACTGTTGCCCGGACTTCTGTTTGCTTTAAGCCAAGAGGCATCAGCACAGCAGAATTTTATTCAAGAATGACAGTGGCACTGGCTTTACATTTGAAAATGCTGAAACGCAACCAAAAGTGAAAGTTGTGATAGTGAATGATTTTCTTTTGTCTTTTTCTCCCCCCTCCTCCTTCTTTTAGGCAGAGGTGGTGGTAGGGGGTGGGTCTATTTTTAATAGTAGAGGAACCCACCAAAGATTTCTCAACTCCTAAGCATGTGCCAAAACTGCAAGGTTGCTCGCCCTCCCTGTATAATATAATACCATATGCAACACCATCACTTTACCTTCAAAGAGAGAATAAGGTCGGTCAGGAATACGACATCCATGTGCACCATACTCCAAACACCATTCAGCAAACTGGGGAAAACATTAAAAAAAAAAAAGTGGTTTTTTTTAATTTTTTTTTTATTTAAGACTGTTAAATGCAAGCTTGAGTATCTGCATATCTTTAATAGGTACTAAATGTAAAGTAGTAGTCATGGTTTAACCCCAGCCGGCAACTGAGCACCACAGCCACTCCGCCCGGTAGGAGAGAATCGGAAGAGTAAAAGTGAAAAAAACTCGTGGGTCGTGGGTTGTAAAATAAAATAGTAACAGTAATAATAATGATAAAAGAATATACAAAGCAAGTGATGCACAATGCAATTGCTCACCACCCGCTGACCGATGCCCAGCCAGTCCCTGAGCAGCAGCCCCCCTGGCTAGTTTTCCCCCCAGTTTATGTACTGAGCCTGATGTCACATGGTATGGAATGTCCCTTTGGCCAGTTTGGGTCAGCTGTCCTGGCTGTGCCCCCTCCCAGCTTCTTGTGCACCCCCAGCCTTCTCAGTCGGTAGAGCATGAGAAGCTGAAAAGTCCTTGACTAGTGTAAGCACTACTTAGCAACAACTAAAACATTGGTGTGTTATCAACATTATTCTCATGCTAAATCCAAAACACAGCACTGTACCAGCTACTAGGAAGGAAATTATCCCAGCCGAGACCAGGACAATAGTGTAAGCAGGGACACAACACAGAAATCACTGTCCGAGATCAATTTGTCCCACTTCAACTGTGACAAGGCTGCAATTAGGTTTTAGGATACGTATTTCCACAGCACAAGTTTCCGTTTCATAACAATGTAATTAGGTGGGCTGTACTTCTGTTTTCTGTAAATCAACCCTGCTACACCTCAATGACAAATGCTGTGAGCACAGATATATTCAGTTTCAAGGGCAAATTTTTTCTAATACTGTAATATCAGTTTCTTTTCTATCTTGGTGCTTAATTTATCCACGTGCTCAGGACTTTGGGTTGCTAATTGCATTTTGGTTTTCTTTCACTTCCATGCACCAATTTAAAGTATTAACTCTCCTGCTCCCATTACTTAATTTTATTTATTTGCTCTCCCCAAGCCTTATGAAAAATCGTTATAAATACAGTCAGACAATTATGGTCATGAATATTTTGTTGCAGAAGATGGAATACGATTAGAGAGAGTTACGTGTCTTTCTTGTGTTTGATCAACACTGCTACAGTAGCTACATTAGACATACATGACTTGTGAACCACATCTGGATCAATTTAATATCAACCATCTATTTCTCCTTTATGGCTCCCCAGAGCATACAGGGGGCCACAAGTTCCCCTGGCATTTCTGTGCTTGGAAGCAAACCACTGCTTATTCAGAATACAGTGTGAAGATTCCTGCAAAGCAAAGAACTGAGAGGTCTCTCCCTGCTCCCCCTGCAATTTGGGCAACCTGCTAGCAAACAGATCATCCTACTAACTAGAGGGTGCCCCGGCTCCAGAGTTGGAGCTATATGGGGTGTGAGCATGCCCCCAGAGCCATCAAATCTGTTCAACAGGAGGATAAAGGGTGGCATCTCCACCCTCCTTCCCCCCACACTGTTCTGTTTAAATGTTTATTGGGGGATGGATTTTTCTTCTCTTGGTAGGGGCGTGTGCATGTGCGTGAATGTCTTGAGGAAACCCAGCAAAAAACCCACAAACACAAGCACTGTGGTCCACACTGCTATTGAGAACTGATGAAACATTTTTGGGCCCCTCCCAGGTATAAATCTTCAAACCGAGGTTTAATTCTCCATGTAATCTTGTCTTATATGTGAGGACAGAACATGTTCATGGCATGTTTCTAAACTACAATCAATTCTTGCACCATCCACATCTTATTACTAGCCTTTATCATTACTGCCAGCCTGGGAACTGCAACAGAAATTAAAAAAATGCACCCCAGGCTACTGAAGCACAACCATCATTTACAAGTTCATAGCTTCAGCACAACTCGTAGATCCAGTAAGCCACACTAATATCTTTGTTAAACCAAGGGGAGAGTGTAAAAATCTTCTAGCAGGAAGACATCTGCCATTATTTGTCACATAGACGGGGCATGCTTGCCATCAGCAGTGGTTTAATCACAATGCTGAGCAGCACCGGGCTCGAATGCTCTCTGTTACCTGGAGCCCAGGATGCTGCAGCCCCTCTCTCCTCCCACGGGCAGGCCAGCTAGGAGCAGCTCAGCCTCCTGGGAGCCTGTCTGATAATGCTGGAGAAAAGCTGTGAAGCCGTAAGTGAGAAGCACAAACCAGGGGTCTCTGTGAGCCGTGGCCTTTCAAGCTCTTCTGGTTCATTTGTGAAAACAGTTTCATGGCTCCCGAGAGGTAAGCAGGGATTCCTGGCCAGACTCCTTCCCCTGTGCCTCATATTTTTGGTGTGAGCAAACACCCCTGGGAGGGGAGCCATCTAGTCCTCTCAGTTACATGCCTTTAGGTACCAACATAACTGCGCGCTTGCTTCCCTGAATGCTTTGGCTCAAAAAGAAGAGATTTCAAGAATGCCAGACAAGCAAATTCCTCTGCCTGTTTCAAGATTTCCCCTGCAAGAGCCTGAAGGGCCTGACTGAATGCTGGAGATGCTAAAATGCAGAATGGCTGCAAATACGCTGCCGGACCTGACTATGCTGGGCACCTCCAGCAGTCAGTCTTTGGCCACTATGCCACATCTTCCTTCTCAAAGGGATTTCAGGTACGTAACTGAGTCCCTTCCTTTTTCGGCTTTGAAATAGATATGCTTGCTTTTCTCTAGCTTGGTATGGAAGAACGTCAGGGCTCTTCTTGGGCCAGAAATGCAGCACCAACAGGAGTTGCCAATGTTGCACAGAGCCACAGAAGATGTACTAGCATGAAGGGTGACAGGGAGAGCCCGATAGCTGGGCCGGCAGAAATGCCTGCTTGGTGCCATGGCTCACACGTCAGCAGTGGGTGAGTCCACATGTAACAAAGTCACACATTTGCTGTGGGAGTGCTAGGGGTTTATTACATTCTCTGGGATGCAGGTATGCTTACACGTGTCCTCATGGCGTGATGCTTTGGTAAATGTGAGACAAGCAGTAACTTTTTAAAGCTCTGCTGATGGAGGACAGGCTGACAGTGGAGATAAATACAATAGCTTTACATATGGCCAGTACTCATCTAAAAGCACCTAAGAAGCAACTCATCAAATTTCCCATTGCAATATTTTTAAAAAGGCCTCAGCTAAATAGCTACGTATGCAATATGAAACCTAATATCAGTGAATCAAGCTGAAAAAGACCCTAGCAAACCAAACCAAAGTCTTATGAGATGAGGAAACAGAGGCAGAGAAAGCCTTCTCCTTCGGTAACTGCTAGCGTAGTCAGAGCTGATAGCAGAACCTGGACAATTCCAGTGGAAAAATTCTGAGCGTGTCTTTCTCTGCAATTTGTAATAATGAAAAAAAAAAAATCATCTAAGTGAGCAATTTAATAACTGCAATTCAGAGCTCTAAAAGCCCCAAACAGACACTAGTCTGAAAACAAATAATTACAAAAGACTACAAACAATATCGCTTGAGGAGCTGAGGACGACAGTGGATGTCTCAATGGAATAATTAGCACCACATAACATTAGTCTGTTATTGTTCAGGCAGGCTGATTTTCAGACTCTATCTTCTTCTGAATACATGTTTAGTTCCTCCCTCCCCTCCTTACAGAACATTTGTGCGTTTCACTCTGCGTATTAAGAAGGTGCGTGCCCCACGTACACAGTTGAAGTCGTCCAGTCAAAGTGTGAGTAAAGCGGAGCAAGCGATGGGACCCTGTTGTCCCACCCAGCCAGCCAGCTCCAGCTCTAGCACACAACAGCCTACTCCACTCACAGTTTACTCTTGCACGGGCGTTATGACATGAAAGGGAACAGTAATTTTGTTGGGATGCTGCAGAGCTCACCTTGCAAGCTCGGTAGAGGTACTTTTTGTCCTGAGTTAGGTTATAGAGAGACAAGAAGGAGTAGCCATTGCCAGCAGTGCCATGGCAGATCCCGTATCCTTTTCTCAATAAACCTCTCTGCCAGATGACATCGCTACAATCCATAGCATCTTTCAAGTATTTATCCTCTTTAAAAGTCTGTGGAATAAAAAGAGAATAAATACACATAAATTGAAGCACTAATGAAAACAAAAGGAAGCTGGACCTGAAAGATGTTTCACTGTTGGTGTGGGGTATTTCCATATACAATTTATTTTGAATTTTAATAATCCATTCATTACAGACTTGCCTTTCTATTCTTACTAAGTTGTTTCTCCTTTCCCTGCATGGAAAAAGAAAGAACTTTTCAAGTTTTTGTTTCTGACATCAGGACCCCAAAGGAAAAACTCAAGTTCAAGGCCCTTGGTTCTACAACCTATAATCTATTTGAAGGGTACGTGGTCCTTTTTTGCTTCTCCCCTCCATTCCCAAACCACAATATTATTTGATTTGAAATACAGAAGTGTAATTCTTGCCTCCAAGAAATGTAACACAGAATACTGGCCATCAAATCTGGTCCTAAAGGGCTAGGTCCTGGTCTTTCTGAGTAATTCTTCCTGGTTACTCACCGTCTGCCTTCAATTCCATGTCAAAAATGCACAAGAATATCTCTTTGCATAGCACAGGGCTCTTTTCTCTGTCACAAGTACAAGTAGGAACATTCCATTACCTTGATTAGTATTTGTATTGGAAATACTCAGAAGCACTAGCCAGTTCGGGCACAGGACCAATTTTGCAAAGTTTATTGCAACTTAAGTGCATTTTGGACACAGAGAGCCCATCAAGAGAGCAGAAAACAAAAGCAAGTAATTTAGCTGAACACCACCAGACTTCCACCCTTACAAGGCTACTTTTTTGCTCCCCTTTGCCTAAGTCACTCTACAGATCAACAAGACAAAAAAAAAAAACCCCAAAAAGTAACTGATGCACTACTGTAGACTTAGTCCTTTAGAGACGGCATCCACTACCAGGCTATTTAATAAGGTAATAGAAGCAATTAACATGCAAGATTCTTAAATCCACAAGCTTGATAAAGAAAGTCCCTCTCTCTGAACAGGGTTTGTCAGCTACTTAGCTGGAACATTTCAAATTAAGGCCTGGCAACAGCATATGATTTCCAGGACAAACACTGCTATCTGTTACCGCAAGTCCCTGTGCTTGGTGTGAAAGCATAGCTGGCAAAACATACTCCAATTTTTCTTATCGCTTCTTCAAAAAGCAGAATATAAAGAGCAAAAGAAAAGCATCATATGCCCCATCACCTTAAACATAAGAAGAGGCCAGAAAGGAGACTGCTAAACAGAACTCGGTCGTATCCCTCTTACCTCCTGCAAAACATTTTGTGCTGGGAAAAGCATCACCTTGACAAAGAAGGGGGAGGGGGGCAGGGGGGGAAGTCTGCAGTGTTAAGTCCACCTCCTACCACAGTCCAAAGAAAAAGCAACTGTGACTGCTGCTACATTCAGCAATGCTGTAAGAGATTTACAGTTCACATTTCAGGTAGCAGCATGAGTAATTATTCCATAAACCATGCCTGCTTTTCATCAGCCCACCCAGAGGTCGACCAGGGAATCTGCCAAGGAGGGCTGTCAAAAGCAAGAATCAATTTGCATAAATTTAATTAAATGGCATACTTTCAAATGTTATGCAAATCAGAAGTGCACAACACAAGAGAGATGGCAAACCTAGTTAAGGATGGACAAGACGAAACAGTAGGCTTGTGGTAGCTCAGCAGTTATATTTATGCCCTAGAAGGGGCCTGGGATCTTTGCTCTGATGTTAAGTTCTCAAGAGCTATATCTTAATAATGGAGTAATTTATGGAAGACATTCTTTGGCAAGACACATGAACCTACGCTTTTGAAAACCAACATAATCCTTAAAACTCCTGGGATGAGTATTCAAAGAATTTAGGTCAATTTTCTCACACTCAGGACTCTGATATCAAATTGTTTAAATACATGGCCCTTTTCCAAGAAAGCCTGAAGTCTAGTAACTACTAGCACCCTGAGAAGCTATTTTACCCACTTATTTCCTCATATAAACATACTTACATATGTAACTATTTTGAGATTTTTAGGTGTGTAGCCTAGGGTTCTGGTTTGAAAGTCTAGATCTAGAAAGACGTAAAATGCAAGCCTTACAATCTAACAGGCCCGCACACAGGTGTCTCTATAAAAATAGAGGTCTATATGAACACAGAATGATTCACCTTATAAGCTTGCATGAGCATGTGGATGACTCCGGGGGCACCATGGCACCAGTGCACCAGTCTGTCAGTCTCATTGCTCAGTGACGATGGGTAATTCCCAGATCTGAATTTTTTATGACGCACATAGTCAATGCTTGGCTTCACCAGCTCTGCCAGGGTCTCCTGGTCCACATTTGCAACTGGCTAAAGAAAACATTAAAAAAAAAAAACAAAAAACACCACCAAAACCATAAACAGAAGTAGTAACAAATTGTGCATCAACACTTAATTCTATGCTCTATTTTCAAGGATCCTACATACGTGCCCTTGATCCAAATACTTTGAATCACTTCATACAGATTTAATTAATGTCTGCTTACAATACCCTTGTGAAGAGCATTTTTACACCTACTGTACAGACAAAGAAATTGGGGCACCAAGTTGTTACTTGTCTTACTGGAGGTGACACAGAAAGACTATGGAAGAACTGAGAACGGGATGTGGATTTCAAGATTCCCAGGCCTCTCTTTATACCTTAAAATAGAGAGAACACTTACAGGAGAAAGATGATTTTATAGCTACGTTGCTCATAATACACACTTAAAACACAATGGGTTGCACGTTTCGTTTTAAAAATAACTAACGTTCACAAACCTGTCCTGTTTCCCAATAAATGAAGAGGAATGTATGTAGTGGCATACCTGGCAGAGGTTTACGAAGGTTAAAGTTTTCCATCATAAACAAAACTCCCTGAAGCTATGGGCTATAAATTTGCATTTCCAATTTCAGAAGCAACAGCTACTTCTCCAGGTAGCTAAACATCTTTGTACTACAAAATCATCCTTAGATTGCTCTTCTGAATTTTCTTTCTCATTTCTTCTATTTAGTTTACATCCTTGCCAAAAGGAGAATATATCCATCAACCTGCATGCTCCTTGTAAGTAAAGGTTTAGAAGCCGAGTATCTGTTGGGTCTGCAGTTGTTCTTTGTTGGCATTCCCTCCTCTACCAGGCCATTTTACAGTATTTTCATAACAGAGCTCTATTTTTACACAGCCTACATGACTTCTGGAATTCCTGCAAACTGTGGGAACAACTGTAGAAATTGGAGCCTACAGGAGCCTAATAACTGAGCTTATTTTTTCAAATAGCTTGTCTTTGTTGCTGACTCAATGTCATACAATTTCACTGTTTCCCACCAGCTCCAGCACATTTGCATTCCATAGGTAAGCATACTGCTACAATTGACAGTCTTACAGCCAAATGAAGGAAGACTTTCAATAGCTGTATTTTCAGTAACCTGAAAAAACCAAAAGCCTCTATTTCACCTCAGCCAGGAAAGCTTTGCCAGACTTCTACCTACCAGGTCCCTCAAGCAAACTCCACCTCTGCGCTTTTCTGAGTGGAACAGAAACCTTCACGCTGCTAATCACAAGTACACCTGAATACAGATCAGCTTATCATGAAGAACACCCCAGATCTGATCAGCCCTCACTCAGACACTGACCTGTGGGGTAGGGAGGCTCTTGTTCTGGTGGAAGCTTTGTTTTGGGGCTCTGATTTCACGCTGCACCCCTGCAGCAGAAGGCAAAGCAGATGGCCAACAGCAATAAATGCCTACAGTCTTGATCCGTGCAAGGCAAGCCCAGCCCAGCACATCTGTCCTTGGGAGGTAAATCCAAGAAGAGCAGAGCTCTTTACAAACCTCCTTCTCACTTTGTGCTTCTGAGAAGGTCTGAGTACAAGTATTTTGCCCAAGCTGCTGAGGTACCCAGCACCTACTTCCAACAGCAAAAAAGTAACCTACAAGTATGTGTCCTGACCCTCTTGCCAAGAGCAATGATATGCAAACAGACATTTTTGCCCCAGGGTTAGTGAAAGGGGCTAGGATTAGAGATTCCCTAGCTAGCACTTCAGAATTCCTCCTCTACCTCCTGGATGAGTTATTTAACACTGCTGAGCTCTTATTCTTCCAGTAGTCTTCTGTAAATAAATCCAGCAATACATGTTTCCTCATAAAGGTGGTGTACAGAAATGATGATCAGTGACCTTCACATCTCAGGTGCTATGCTGGACGCCCTTTTTTTGTTATCAAACAGCTACTCAACAAATTATCTCCTGAATTCTTTGCTGAAAATACAGAAAAATTCTCCTCATTTGGCGTGGGAGGGATGGGGAAAGGATGGGACTCCGATATGCCGTCTTCTTCTGCAGCGGATGACTCAACTCTGCATGACTCACAATATTTAATGTACAGTGAAAAGACAGTAATCTAATGCTGCATAAACAATGGCTTTGTGGTAATTCTTAAAAGCAGCAATTATATGTAAAGGAAAAGATAGTTACAATTTTAACATGTAGACAGAATAGCTTCTGCTTAAGCCAAAAAGCACCGTGGAATTGTTTCTGCTATCAGCCTTGAATAGTAAGTGAAGGATGGAGCCTTTAAAGAGGCTTCTTTAAAGGACCAGAAGTTTCTCAGAAAATCTAGCAGAGCCAGGGAAGGAAAAATGGAAGCCAGGAAGATGAAGGAGCCAGAATGAGGTGGACCACCTTGTTGAAGAAAGCAGGAAGTGAAGGTAAGGGCACAGTAAATCAGAGCAGCCTGAGGCCCCAGTGAGATGGTCACTACACAAAATGGCTGTAGTGAGGTTAAGACACGCCCCCAGGTACCAGAGCAGTAGCCACTTCCACAGCAAAGTCAGCTGCTTTAGCCTCAGCTACTGGTGGAAGTGATGTGAGCTAATCTGAAACACATGGAGAAGTCACAGCATCTTTTGCAAATGAGGAATGGCTGAGCAGTGGCAACACCAAGTACCAGCTCAGTCACTTCTGCAGTGAACATTTATACGCATTCAGCTTCACCCTGCGAGGACGTACAATCCTTCTTGTACACATTTGGACATACAATGACTTGCCTGAAGGAAAGTCATTTTGCATGAGCTGGTAAGAAAATTAACATTTACAAAGATGCACAGACTGGCAGCACCTTTAAAAATCAGAAACAGGTAAAATACAAATTTTGCCACTCTATGGCCATCTTCTATAATGAATCTTAAGGCTCTTTTCCAGATTGTACAACAGAAATAAGATATACAGGTCTGTTTTGAAAAAACGTCATAATCCTATTGGAGAATCTCAGGTCAACGGGGAATAGATTTAAGTGTGGGAAAGAGGAGGTATACAGAAGAGAGGAATCTTACTCAGGACAACAGAAAGAAGAGAGCAGGGGTCATAAATGCACTAAGGAACATCAGATTTTTGGGGGAGAGAGAGGGGGAGATAAGGAAGAGGAAGAACATCTAAAGAATAAAACCATAATGAAGACTAATGTGTGATTAAGGATAGTCTTCCAAAAGCTTCAAGACAGTGGGGAAAAAAAAAAGTCACTGGGGAAGAGAGGAAGGGCTTGGAGGGCAGGAGACACCAGCAGTACACTCATTTAAAAATGGCAAAAAATTGAAAAGTGATGGATGGTAAGTGAATATTTAGCTGGTCTAACTGCAGGCACCAGAAGGAGTAAGTATGAGCACGAGGGGCACCTCACTGTCTCTGTTGAGGATAGGAACTTCAGCTCCTGGAACGCTGGTGCTCTGAACCACAACTCAAGGGTTAATTCACTCTAATGAGAGGATACCCAAGTCACAGTTTTCTTCTGCTACCAGGACCTGACCTAGCATTCTGCACAGTTATGTGCTGCAGAGTCTTAACTCCTAACTGTGAGACCCTGACCCAGCACAACACTGCACATGCATGAAAGCTGAAGATAAGATCCTCTGATGCAAAACAAGAAATCACTGGTGTTTCACCCCAGCCCACAGAAGACACTCTTACCTGCATGAGCATGTAATAGATCCCAGCCACTCCATGGGCCGCTCCAACATACTGCTTCCTGTGCCACTGGTACAACAGAGGACAACGGTCTGTTTTCCGCTCCTCCTTCGAAAAGTTTCTCCCCGATTCAATAATAGCATCTACTACCTAAGACAGAGAACACACCCCTTCCGTCTGTCTCGCTTGCTTTGATTCAGAGGGTTTTGCTTTGTCATGACTAAAACCACAGTAAAGAATAAGCTATGATAAACAGTGATAGGGCAACAATATTCAATTCATTTGGACTTGAGTGTTGAGGTAGAAATGGAATTTTTCCTAAATGATGGAATCACACATATTTCTAAGAGTAGAAATTTAACATATAAATATTTCTAATCACTTTTTTCCAGGCCTGCCTTCTCTGGTTCTGGTATCTGCAGAACAGTCATGCATCTTCCCCACACTGAATTCTCGTTCTTTTCACTTAAACACTTCTGTCTTAAGGTTTTTCGTAACAATTTGTTATCCTCAAATGCTCCAAAACTAGTTACATATTAGATCCATTTCCATGGCTGGCCATGGACCCACCCCCACTGGCCTGTCTCAGTCCCAGCTGGGCAGCAGGGAAAGGGGGAAGAGATTGGGGACAGATGAGACTGAGTTCCCAGTTCTAGGTCCCTCTCCTCTCCAGCATCCCTCTCTTAATCCCTTGAATTATGTGAAGGAGTGATTCCAGTTCAACCTCACTGATGCTGTGGCACTGGAGAGAGAAAAGTATCTTACCTCTTTGATAACAGACTGTGGGACAGTGTCTGGACCGATTTCAGTATTCAGGTACAGCAAGGCATATAGGTAACCTGCTCTGCCATAAAGCAGCTCATCTGGCAGTTCAGCATCTGTGCTTACGACTGCCCTTTGGAGTTGCAACAACCTGCATCAGACAAGGAAGGTGGGGAGAGAGAGCATCTTCTCTAGAGACCATACTGGACTACATATTGTACAAGCCATCAATCAAACCAGAAGCAGAACAAGTGCCAAAGCCCCACCACTTCCCTTCAGTCACCCCCAGTTCAGCTGGCTGCCAGGTTTACACACAGGAGCTCTGCGTGCCTGCCATCCCTGACAGACAGGCAACTCGGAGCCAGAGCCAGGTTAGTATTAGTGCAACTATCAGTTTTTTGTGCAGACAGAAACAGATGTACGGGTGCAGGGAGGGGGTTGGAGGAGGCTGGAGAGCTACTCCAACAAATAGAGAAGCCTCCTGGAGCCTCTGGGAATTTCACTCAAGTGTGGACCCTTAATTGTAGATGTGTAAGAGGGAAAAAACAGAAACAAACAAAAAAGACCAATACCACCATTTAGCACTCCCCCTCCCCAGGCAACACGTTGTCTCAAATGTTTAGCAGCTCAATTTTGAAAAAGGCACTGTTGTTATCCACAAGCTTTTGCTTGCCTTTAGCAATGGAAAAAACCCCTTGGGCCGGCCATTGCAACTCTCATTTGCTCCAAAGAGACTCCGGGCTATTACTCCACCAGTCTGCATTACAATTGAGGTGGAACAGAGATCTCTTCTTCCTGCCCACTCCCTCCCTGTCTCTTCCTATCTTTTGTGATTAAATTGGCAATTAGATGAAACCACGGAGATGATCACATTTTAAATTGTGGGAGGGGGCAAAACAATCTGGATTAAGACCAAATTCAATTCCCAGATCCCTCCAGCTGCTATTACTTGGCAGAAATGTTAGCATTAACATCATGCCGGAGCAAAAACACGGACTCCAATGGCTTGTTTATGCTGTCACTGCTTAATACCAGGGAAAAGCCACTCACAAAAAAAGGAGTTTTATATTATCACTCCTTTCTTGGAACTATGCTTTGGACTTAGAATTGAATTATTTTCTTTTAAACTGTCCACTGTTAAGTTTTATTATTCAAATCATACAACTGGACAGCTACAAGGTAAAAGTTAAAAGTGCAATCACAGATAACATTTTGACATCTATAATGTACCACTCAGCTGGCATCATGAATATATTTGTAAACAAAAAAGGAAGAAAAGAAACAAATAATCAAACTAAACTCCTTTTCAGTCCTCCTCCTAGAGATGACTTTCCAAGGAGAGGCGAGACTAAAAGATTTATTGCTAATCTCATTTTGCTATACTCATCCTTCATGCCTTACAGCAACACTGCTTTCCTAGCTGCATCCAAAATGACATGCCCAACTTTACTGCCAGTTCTAAGAGCAAAAAAAACCCCAAACCTACCACCCATTTCAAAACTGAAATATTCATTCAGGAACAGCAGCAGAGATTAATTACACTAGGATTCTAGATTAGAAAGAGACCAATTATATTTCCAAATATAAACCAGAATGGAGATGAGGACACAAGGCTAGTCTGCAAATTCTGGCAGCCTAAGGTATGCTGCTGGACCGCTAGCAGGTGGATTACTGGTGCCGAATGCAAACCTCACAGGGCTCCAGTGCTTCCAGCCCTCGCTGGGACAGCAATCAGCTCCGTACCAGCAAAGGGACAGTCAGTTCTCCAAGGAAGCTCCACATCTAAATGGGATTTCTCAAGACATTTGTTACATTTAGATTACTTTGAAAAGGGGCTGCAATTTTTTCAGGCTACCCTTCATATGCTCCGACCTAATTAAAGCCCTTGCATTTGACGGTTCAGCAAATACCTCCTCTTTGTTTTATTAAATCTTTGTCACATATCAATCCGATGTACCTTGTTTCTGTCTGGATGTTTCCAGATCCCTGCAGCATACATGTTTTGTAATGAATCTACAATTAAGACCCACTCTTTACAGGAAACATCACATACTGCACAAGCACTACATATTGCCGATGATAAGCGTGCGACTTTTGTTAAATGTCACTTCAATGTGACAAAATCAAAACATGCACGCACTACAGATATGCCCAGGACATCCTGTCCTTACAGCAATAGAGGACTCAAGATAACCTGCTAAATATGAATCAAGTGTAAGCCAACTTCAATAAAGATAAAGCCTGTTTTGTATTCTTCTACTGAAAATGTATCAGGGGAGAAAGTGTCTCCATTTTTTTAATCCCGTCCTCCAAAACTCCACTTGCTAATGTTACTGAACCAATGATCTCTACAAATGAAGGGCATGGCTTTTTCCACCATCAACCGCTTACTTGGCAACACATTCTTTAGATTCACTGTCGTTTTTCAGCTTGTGATAAACCACTGCACCCACTGCCAGCGGCCCAGCATCACCGCAGAGGAAAGTAACTCTTCTGCCATTCAGATTGCGAAGGATTCTCTTCACATAATCAAGAGATCGCTGCAAGTGGCTCTGGTTTTTCGTGACGCGGTACAGTTGCAGATATAAGAGGGCAATACCTGGAACAACCACATGAAAAAGAGTTTCATTTACTTTTCCTTCTAAATATATCATATTCCCCTCGTTAGTGCCCCTGAACCAGTAACTCAAATGCAAACAGGTATTTGGGCAATTAAAACAGGTCAGTGAAGGGTTTTAGCTTATGCAATGGGAAGGCATCAGGCCATCTATTTTGATTACATTTCAATTTGGATTGTGACAAAAATAAAAAAAAATTATCAGACTGAAGCCCAACGGTAGACTCACAATTTGCAGAGAATGAAGAAAATTCATGACACAGGCACCAGTGCTTGGTGAAGAAATCACTGAAGACTCATAAACTTGGGCTAACAAGCATGTGTATGACCAAGTACATTGACTGTACAATACTCATCTATTATATGCAAGAAGTGACTTATTTTCCAATTGATTTGTAAAAGGATCTTTTGATGAGTTTTTGGATTCAACTTGCCAAGTTCTTTATCACCCTTAAATGTATTTCACAACAAGATTATGAGTTTCTACAAGTTAAGCTAGTTTGTAAAAGCCAGAAAGCAAACAAGTCCTCCTTCCAGAACGGCGGAAGGTAATACCAAGCTTCACTCCACTAAACCCATTACATAGTTTTCCATTAAAACCAAACAAAACCTTAAAAATTGCAGCAATGTAGACTGATGAAAGCGAAACAAATCCATCTGAGTGGATGTTTATTGGCCAATTGCAAGCATATATGTGCAGAAGCAAAACATTTACCTCCAGACCATACTGCATCTCAAACTTGTTTCTGAACAGTGAGAGCACTCTCCTGAGCCACAACTAAAGCCGAGTACACACAAGGCCCACTTAGCTCCACAGTGAGCCAGCTGAGCACCACAGGAAGAATAGCACCACAGGAAGAATAACACCACAAGAGTGCTGGTACATCCTCAGATGTTCTCGGGACTGGCTTTGAACAAGCCTTTCGAGATGAGTCCAAGAGGAGAGCTGCAGAGGTTGGTTAGCCCAGTTCAGTGGCAGGGGAACTTGTGGGCTATTTACTGGGATTTCTGTAACCCTTTTTTTATGTTGCAACATTTTGTAGGTATCTGGGCTTGACCAAAGGATGATCAGAAAAGTAGCCATGAGTGCCAGTTCATCCAATCCTTCCTTGTGCAACACCCTTAAAATGGCTCCTCCAAGATATCTGCCTCATACAAAGAGTACTTGTATAAGCAAGATGGACTACAACATGAGTCCTATGATTGTTACATGCCAACAGTATGCGCTCCAAGATTTTAAAGATGTTTCACAAAGTACAAGCCAACGCACAGGACTGCACTGCCAATAAGATTTGTCTAGACTTGGTATATAACAAGCAGGGCAGTTGTTTTCAGCATTGCTTTTACGTTCTGATTTGCACACTAGCTGCAAGGAGCAAGTTTGGGGAGAAAGTATTTGAAAAGCCAAATCATTTAAATATTTTTATTCAGAGTCATTTCCACAGGAGCCTTGAAAGAAGTTTATAACTTGGAATAGACATAGTTGGCGATCCTTCTACAGGATGGAAAAACCCTACTCTCATTAGACTCTGTTACTTGTTCATCTATCTTCTTGTTTCAGCTAATGATGGCTGTGTTACTTTTAGCTTATGACTCATTTTCAGCATGCTCTGTTTTATCAGCCATAACTTGAGTTGTCAGTCACAGTGTCAGAACACAGCTCCCTGGAAGCCATTTTGTAATGTCAGCGTGAGAAAGCCCACCACTGGAGATCTTCTGCGCTCACTTCTGAAAGCCACTCACTTTCAGACCTTGAAACACATCCACCATTTAAGTCTGAGTTGCCTAAAACTTCCCCACCCATCCACCCACAGCACCATCTGTACTGAAACATCAAGAAGAAAGCAAAGAAATTTTACCCTTTCATTGCCAGAATTAAGCCTGAGCACAGACAAACCTTGGAGAGTTTTTCCAAGCTGCTCCCCCTCACGACACAAAGATAAAAGAATGGATCTTCTCAGGGCACATTTCAAACTTGCTGTGCTAAAAGCATAAGTATGCCTGCAGTGTGAGCTACACAGAGCAGGAATAGAACATGCCATTGTAATAGCAAAGTGGCACTTAAGAGGCCTAGACAGAGAAGTGTTTTGGCAGCTTGAAGAGCAGTGGCCGTATCAGGCTTGACAACTGCAGGCTCTGCCTAAAGAATCAGAAGGGATCATTCACATTTGGACAGCATCAGTGATGCAATGCTAAATGAACGACAGTGCCTAGCAATAACCAGCGCTTGCACACACCTGTTTACCTTCATGCACTTCACAATCTTGCAACCCCACCTCCATACTCCCCCTCCTCACACGTTCATTTTACCATTTTTCTACAGACAGAACAAGCAGAGCCAAGTTATCCATATTCTAGATTTTAAGGCTCCACGCTCCTGGGCACAGAACACCCCCTCTCAATGATCAGAAGATGCTGTTACCATCAGACAACTGCTAACTATCAGTCAGTTGAACAGAAAAAGGTGAAAATAACTGATCTTAAGAAAATATTAAAGAAACTAGAGGTAAGCCAAAAGGAGTAGCCTTAGAAAATCCACTCCCTTTGCAAGTTAAAGATCTCCATAGACAAAAGCCAATTACCTCTCTGTAACCAGATCCTTTGTCCACTGAAATCAATGCAAATAATTCCAGACAGTAGTGACCAAGGGTCCAAAGTTAAAAGAAACCAACTCACACAAATGCCTCTCTCAGAGTATTCCTGCTGCTCCTGTGAGAATACCAGAACCTCCTCCTGTGAATAAACCCAATTATGCCATTTAACAAACACACTTCATTCAAATTCTAGCTTTCTCACCAGTCCAGCCAGTATAGGCAGAGCAGTCATGTGGATCTGCTGTCTTCAGCCCTTCCTCCATTTGTTGCAGAAGGTCCTTGATTTTTGTCTGGATCCGTTTTGAGAACCGAGCACTGACCTGAGAACAGGAGACAGGAGAAAAGGAGCGAGTCAGAGAAGGAAAGAATCCAAGAGTGCAAGCTGGCTGCTCCACTTTCTTGTTTGGAAAAAAACAAAAAATAACTAGGGAACAAATACTACATGCAGCAGTCAGCAGTGTCAAGGTGATTCATCTTAAGTGTGTCTCATGTAATGCATTCTGATTACATATTAGAATAAGTTACTAGTATCTACATTAAACAAAAATTATCTGGGGATGCTTTAAAGTCACATGAAGAGCAGCTATGGACACTGTGAGAGTACGTAATCATATGCTGCCTCTTATCTCAGGCTCTTAATACAGTAAGCAAAGCTTCTCTGAGCTAAGTAAAAGGTGAATAGAAGCAAGCAGAAGACAACCATCTGCTGCTACTCCATGAGCCAATACTCATTCAGGGTCCTGGTACCAAGACCACGTTATGGACGAACACAGCACAGTGAACCTACAAGCCCTGTGTAATAGGTGGTTGCTCTCATCACAAGGTCCCTGCACATCTTTTGTGGTACTATGGAGCAGGAAATAGCTAAAGGAAAATAAATGCTCATATTTAAGACAACCAAGTCAAAGTCAAGCCATCATCTTCAATGATACGCTCAATCACATCATCTATGATGTATTCACATTTTCCTCCTTAATCCAAGACTCTTTCATGTCCCCGTTTGTGATCACCACATGGAAGGCAAGTCGCTTAGAGCCATAAAATGCCCTTCCTCTTGCTTCTTGCTCTCTCCTCTCCCCAAAACAATATTAGGATTGACATGTTTTATCATGATAGGAGGTTGTTAAATGCAGTGGAACTATTGAAGAATAACTACCTAAAAGAATGAGCTAGACACAAAGCTGAGTAGAAGCAGCTTGGCAGCTTCAGGTCATGCATGAAGTTGAAGAAACTAACCTTTGATTTTATTCATTGCTTGCTTTTGACCAAGAAAAGTTTACATAGATACTATATATGAAATATAACACAGGATACTTTAATCTTGCCACCATTTCCCTCTCATGAAGCATACTGTATGGAAAGATACATTACTAATTACTCCCTTAAGCCTATGGAATGTGGAAATAGTCCATTAACTAGAATTTACTGCCCTATTAACTTCCATGGGAAAGAGTATTCAGGAAATCCCTTCACAGGACGAGTCTACATTTGAGTGGGAACATCAGAAACAACACTCAAAAATGTTGTGGGGTTTTTTTTGTTATATAAACGGTATCACTTATTGATCAGCTTTTCCTATTAACACATTTATTAAAAACTAATTTATATATTTAAATAGAGCCTAAGGTCTAGGTTTACTTACAGAACAATTTATCTACTACGGAGGCAGAGAAGGAGAAACAAAAAAACGTCTTCCCTTTCTGGGCTATAGGAAAAGCTTTACCATTACCAGATAATTGCATCACTCTGACAAAATAGTGATGTACACAAACATCATGCCACCCAAAAATATTTCGTGAATGTGCTTTTTCCATCACCTACAGAAAGCCCCAAGCATACATCACTTGTCACCTAAATCTCAGTTATCCAGGAACATCTAGAAGAGAAACTCTCTAGGAACATGGAAGCCAGCAGAGCTTCCCCACCTCCAAAACCAAGAGTCACAACGCAGTGCTCATCAGAAAAAGGGCATTACGCAATTTGGCTACCTGTCAGCTTACACTGAGAATAAGCTACAGTTTCCTGAATAGTGCTTGATCTCCTTCCACCACTTGCTTCCCCAACCTGCTCCCAAATAACAGCCAGAACAAATCAGATTAACTGAAACTAAGCCTTCACCAAAGACATCTACATTTATGATGTTTTACTGGAGAAGGAGAAATTAGCTCATTAGGAAGGCAAGGTCTCGTTTGATTACAACACACCCCAAAAGGGAGGGGGTTCAGATAAATGTGGGTCCTATATCAGATGTATGCCAGCATACAACTGATTACTCAAAACACTTTGTACTCTTGTTCAGAGCAGAACTTCAAATAAAAATCAGTGGATTCAAACATCCATTCAATGGATTCAGAAATCAGAAAGAGAATAGGAATCACACAAGTCCTCTGACATACTCAGATGTCTCCAAGGTCAATGGCTCAAATCCATTTTATGATGGTGGGATAGGGAGGAAAAAGGAAATTGTGCCATTATATCTCATGTCACACACATACCACTCTAGGAAGGAGCTAGAGCTACCTTAACCTTCTTCAGTAACTCTAGAAGTAGCAACCAAACACAGTAAGCATCTGATGTCTACTCTTTGGCCTTAATATGGCATTAAGCACCTTTTTGGTAGGAAAACTGTACCATACACACACAACACTCACACCCTCCCCTTTTAACTAGTTGAGTGAAGTCTCAACACAAGGCAAAACCTTTCCCAAGGGCAGAGCTTCTCTCCTTCAAAAGACAGCTATGCCAAGGCTAAGGCATATGGGGAAACAGCGTGAGGATATCCATGCAGATGCATCCAGGCGTAGCACTCAGTTTATCTGACAAGAGTGAACTAAGGTTTCAGACTACCGGTTTGTTTACCTACTGCACATCACAATCAGGCTGGTTATCTTTTTGTTCTGACAATACACCTGCTGTTACCAAATCTGGATATTTTTTATCAAACACGAGATCAAATTACTTAGAAGCAGGAGGGGAGGACTAGGACATCACGACACCTGGGTTCTGCTTTGAAACCTCAGTCCCATACAAGTAATTTAGCTCAGATTGGCATTTCCCTCTCTCTAAAACAGGAATTGTAACTTACCTATCTTGATTCAGTGCTTGGAAAAGCATAGATGAAAGGATTTTTTGATTATGATTATAATCATTTATCAGCTCAAACAAAGGTACTCCCAAGCTTATGCCAGTCTGAATAGGTTATGAGTGGCAACAAAGTTTTCTTCAGCTACCTACCTACTCCTCCACCGCTGCCTTTTTTTTTTTTGATTGCTCTGAAGCTTTAACAACAGAACACCGTCACTGTTCATTTGATAAGATTCCACTATAAGCTTCTAACAGATGCTTACATGCACTAGAATAAATTAATTACATAAAGAAATGAATGTTGAAAGGTAGCTTTAGAAGATTTATAAACCTCCTTCAAGAAATCTTATGGCAGCATTACAGCTGAGCATAAAGCACGCTAATTCGTGTTGAGCACAGATTGATTTTCATGAGAAGCATATTCATTTCATGAGGATGATTCCAGCTGGCATTCAGCCTTTTCTGCAGGTGACTCTTGTTATTCCTGTAGGGAAAAACAAAAAGCAGGAAGCCTGACCTCTGAGATCCAGTATCACATTTACTCCTAGTTCACAACAGACTGGGTGATAACAGGAGCTGAAGAGTATCTTTAACAAGTAGAAACGGCTCTCTCCAGGAATTCAACTGCTGCTGCAGGAAGAACAAACACTATCATCCCAACCACTGCTCAAGTTTTAGATTGGCAAAACACAAAAAATGAGAGCTCCTTCCCCATAATACCCAACAGAACCCTGCACCATATTGATTATGATAACAAGAAAGGCTCATTATCAGCATGAAACAAAAGTAGTGCATAAAAATACAAATATGTCGGTTTTGCAAATTAATTGTTTTGTGATTATTTGAACCATATCACTTTTTCCATTGCAGTGAGGCGGTATGCAAAACTACATCCCAATCCAAAGCCTTTTAAAACCAACAAAAAGGTAAGGAATGTAAGCGTATATGTAACACCACTCTCCTTTGGCACTAATGACATGGTGTCCAAATTACACTGTCCTTGTCAGCAATACCTGTTTCCCCTATCTGCTTTCTTTCAGTTGTAGGGTTCTTAAGAACTTAAAGCATCTTCTTCTGTAAACTCAGCACTAAAACCACACACACGTTACAAAAAATACACCACGATGCAAATAAAAATCTCCTAAAAGAAATGCACATTTCACTTGCAGTTGATATTACAATAAAACACTAATTCTTACTGAACTACCTCTCCATTACAGCCATATCCAGCTTTACAGCTGTGGCTTTACAACAAACCAGCACCAGGAGCACATGAGGCAATAAGCAGCTGCTACGTATGTGTTTTATACGATGACTTCTGGTAGGTAAGAGAAGCCTGTAACTTTAAGTCTTGCAACTTTTAAAATAAAGCATGCACATTTGGACCAGATATCACCAGTGCTTACGTAAGTCTGACAATGCAACCGTGAGACCTTATGGCACTCCTTTTGTGGTTAGAAGTAATACTCTGGTTTGACTGACACAGGGTGAGTTATCTCATTAGCCTTTGTCAAAGACACTTAGATATCGATGTTTTTCAAAGCATTTATTTGTATCTTGACACATCTATGCCAAGTAACTTGTGCAGACTCATGGCAGGACAGCAGGGCAATGGAGACCTGAGCTCAGCTTCCTCAAGAGTTGCTAACATACTAGTCTTTCTTGCCACCACCAGCTCCCGAAACAACCATCTTGCTATTAACCCTATTTTACCCTTACACTATTCTATTTTACCCCATCACCTTTTGGGGGACTGAAGAAGGAAGCAACTGATTACGCAGAAGCAGCAAGGAGATGGCCTATACACAGAGTGCTACCTATGGAACAAGCAAAATAACACTTTTATTTTATCTCAGTTTGAATCAGGTTAAGAAGAGTGATTACAGAGAGAAGTGACTTTATTGTTGGTGATGTGTAGACATAACATGGTGCTGGGTTTTCTTCCAGGCAAAGCTCATTTCATGGAAAAAAAAAATACAGCTCAAGTTGGCACTGCAGCGAAGAGTCATTCAAAAACCAAACTTGCATAGAAGTCTGCATGAGGGACATGACAAGACACTGGTAAGGGAGAACAGGGTGGGGGATGTCTCACAGCTCTACTGAAATGAGAAATCCTGGCCGTACTGAAATCATTGGGAACTTTGCCACTGACTGTAAGGGGGCCAGGTTTCACACCCACGCGCTGGAGCATGGGTTTATTGAAGCAGGATGAGGTCTTAACACTTGCCTCCACAGAGCTCCTGCAAGAGCCAACCAGTAGGATCCCACATGCAGAACTCAGCAAGGTCAGCTGGGAAGGTGACCTGCCTTTTTGTACAGAAAAACAAGTTTTACTTTGTTTTTACCTAAATCAAAAGACTGTTACAGCTCCAAGAGCTGCTTTTTTTTCTTCTCTGAAAATACCAGATACTAAGAAACCTCATCACCCAGCCTCTGAAATAGTTAAACACAGCTCTCTGCTACTACTCAGTTAGGTCCTTCCAGAAACAAATGCTAGTTCTGCAAAACCACATGCTTAATAAATGATTTGAAACACTGCTGTCTGTAGAACACATTGCTCTGATTTTCAGTGATCTGGTGCCTAGTGCCATATGTGTGATAGTGGGGAAAAAAGAAAAAAAGAAGAAAAGAAAAAAAGGGGGAAGGGAGGGAGAGAGAGAGAGAAATCAATAGCTGTAGGCAAACTACTACACTGCTACAAATGACAACTTAGGAATAGGCTTTAAATGCAGGCATCACCCTACCTCAGAGATGAGGGCGTGAAAAACAGTATTAAAAGGCAATCCATTCAAGTTACAGAAAGAATTGTTTAAAGCAAGTAAGAAATAGTGAGACTGCCTCTAATGCATTTGTGTGTAAAAGGAGCTATTTGTCTCATTGGTGATTAGGTTGCAAAAAACCAAAACCT